TGGTGTTCTCATCACCAAATTGTAGCAAGTAATTTTTTAGCTTTCTACTTTTAAAGAAAATTTTTCTTGTAGCAAGACATCATTAAACACATTCTTCAGTTTACTAATCACTTCAGCACTATTCGTTACACTTTCTGCGAATAATCTTAAATTGTTCATAAAATTCATTCAATTTTCTTTTTCAAATCATCATTCATCCCTTTGCTCCAATTCGAGAGGACCTGATCATAATTGAAGACTTTATCAATAACTAAAGAAGAAAGGTCAAACTGTTTGTCATTATCTGCGTAATATTAGAATATATAATTCATGAGTTCTCAAATCGAAATTTGAATTTATCTCTTAGAAAATTATTTTGGTTCATATAGAGCATGATTGGAGAATGATCAAAATGAGTGAAAACTAAATTAAATAATTTGCAAGAAGAAAAATGGTTCAATCAACTACTATTCACAACACACACATCAAGTCGCTCTTGAACCCATAGCATACCCACGACTTCTCTCTCAAGTAAATCGATGACTAATAATAGATAAATCATGAAGATCACAAGTCTCAAAATATCTCAAAAATTATTAATTAAATTTTGAGGATGAACCATACCCTCTTTATAACTAACAATAAAAATATCACTAAAGTCTACTACACAACATCATGGTTGCGGAGAAATAGAAGACAAATGAGCCAAAATATTCCTAGAGTCTCTTCTTCTATGTCGTTTAGGAAGACAATAGAAATCCGTTAATCTCTACTATTCTCGATCATAGGAGAAATAATAAATTTTATAAAATTATTAGAATAATTTTTATACTCACCACCTTACTAATTTTATTTACAGCAAAAGAATAAGTAATACCAATTTTATTGTGAACATCCTCAGTTTTTGTAACATCCATAAGAGTTTCAATCAATGAAACTACAACTGGCTTATTCCTTCTAACTAGCACCGTAAGAGCGCAAACTGCTCGTGGATTGCCCATACCACAATAGTTCCAACTAAAAATTATCATGGTTTGTCAGCAGGCCTGTTCTACAGGCTCCACCGTTGAACTATATATTGTTGAAGAAGTAGATGGCACTTCTACACCTGAACTTCAGAGTCTCTTGTTACTTTCTTTTAACTTCCGGCATAGACAACAACCGAGTAAAATCTCACAAGTGGGGTCTGGGAGGGTATAGTGTACGCAGACCTTACTCCTACCCCAAGGGGTAGAGAGGTTGTTTCCGATAGATCCTCGGCTCAAGCAGACGAAAAAGACAATATATCAGTACCAACAGTAGAAAGCACAGTAATAACAACAGAATCAAAAGTACCAGCAAATAGATGAAAATAGAGTCTTCAATATTTTTTCCATAAGCATTAAGCTCAACTAAAACATCATCATTAGATCTCATACCCTTTACTAACTTACCTTCATATTTTTCACGCAGGTCTTCCTTCTTGGAAAGATCTTTGCAAATTTAAAGTTATTATTTGCATCATATTCATGTAACAAACGCCTGCATCCTCTTCTTTGGAGCTGCCCTCAACTTAGACCCCTAATTTATAACGATGTTGTCCAGTGATAACACGAAATTAGTTTCCTAAGTATTGTAACCATGTTCCAAACAATCACAGATAAATCAAAACAACGACAGTCTTTCATAACAAAAACTAAAAAGTAGCAATATTTTCTCTACGCTTGGCAATATGCTTAGAACAATTCAATGGCTCTCTAATATCAATCTGGTACCCTATAAGCATAAAAATATTAGGTTTTTCAGTAACTTTTCAAGCATCATAACTAACAAAGACCCACTGAAAAGGCCAATTTGTTTAGTCACTGTCTCAGATATATAACTCACATGAAGATCATGCACTTGAATCGAGAACTCAGAATCCCTTTGTAGCATGTGTAATAACGAAAGATAATTATTGAAGGACCAGGGCGCTCCCTCAATAACATGCTGAATATCATGCTCATGGTTGAAGCAAAATAGGAAATACTAGCCTCCCAACTCCTTTATTTTCACATATCGCCCAAGTTGCCAGAGTATTTTTTATTGCTCGAACATTGATAGATTATATGTTTACAATCTGCCTACCAGGCAAAGATTATTATAATTAGTTTCCTTCGCGGCCTCTGGTTAATCCAATCCATCTAGCTCTTCAATTATACAAGAAATATCATCTATTTTAATATCCATCGCAAAGCCAAGGCAGTTACGAATAGGAAAAAAATAAAAATAACTATAGAACAAAGAAACTCATCAACTCACCCATAAGGACAAACACATCCACATCCACAAAGAGCAGACAATATCAAAGACATGCAACTTAATTCGTTTAAAAATGAAGAATCGCGGTGGCATAATGGTGAAACGAGGATGTTAATAGCAGAGAAAGTGTTGGCATCTAGGATTCTAGGTGGCGGCTCTAGGTATTAGGCAGAAGCTAGAGAGAAGTGAATCTTTAATTTAAAATGTAAATTGTTTGTGAAGGCTTACATCATGCCTTCGGAAGTGGTATGTTTGGCTTGTTTACCACTTATTTGATATGTCTCATCTCGTGAAGATTAGCTTGTTATGCATACAATAACAACATACTCAGTGTGAACCCACAACTGAGGTCTGGATAGGATATAATGTATGCATATCTTACCCTTACCTCAATAGAGGCAGAGAGACTATTTCCAAATTAACATGTTATATATAATAGAGGAATTAACTGTCATATTTCTTCATTGTGCATTTAGTTCAATCTGGATGGACTTCGTCCATGCCAAACGATAGAACAAATGGTCTAAAGAACAATAGCAAATATACGAATCAACCTACTAGAGCCTAGAGTGATATAAAGATTATCGTACCAACATGGATCAGTGAGCTTTTTGCACTATTCTTTATCTTAATTTTATATGAGAAATCAAATATTATTATGAGAGGTTACATCTCAACAATATCTGGTACCTGTTCCTCAGCCGAAGCAATTGGTGGCTTCGCAGGTGCTGCTCTGGCTGTAGTAGAAGCCGCACCTCGGCCTGTACCGCGGCCCCGACCTCTCGTGGCCCTAACTGGTGGTACTGATGGCCGTTCGCCTGATCCGGTCGAACGTGTCCTCACAATCTGTGAGAAAATAGAGGAGTCAAGTTTCAAGCTTCGAAAATAATGAATATGCACAACAAGAATGCAAAGAAAGTAAAGTTTCCTAACAGTTTGGTAGCCTATCGAAGACAAGTACAGACATCTCCGTACTGATCCGCAACACTCTACTAAACTTGCTCATGACTTGTGAGACTTAAGCAACCTAGTACTCAAATACCAATTTGTCACAATCCAACTCTCATGACCGAAGCCGCGACGACACCTAACACTACTTGCCAGGCAAGCCAACAATTTACATAATAACTATGCATTTGAATAAACATGGTTTAATAAGCTTAACAGCGGAAATATCATAACTATCTAATGAAAATAATAACAATAGTGCTGCAAACCATCCCAACAATCTGGTGTCGACGAGTACATGAACACTAAGTATCATAATACAAATCAAATCCTCAATACAATTGTCTGGACAATAAACAGTAATAAAGGAAATAAAGGAAAGAGAATCAAGGTCTGCGGACGATAAAGTAGGTACCTTGAAGTCTTCAAATACCGGTACCAACACGGCTCTAGCAACCACCACGTCCAAATGTACCTGGATCTGCACATGAAGTGCAGAATGTAGTATGAGTACAACCGGCTCGCGGTAATATTTCGTCCTAGTCCTGCTCAGCTTGAAACCCTTAGACTTAAGGCCTGTCTTCAAATCTCCAGCCTCTCTTAATACCGTCTTGCGGAGTACAATCGACCACATGTACTCAATTAGTAACAAAACTAGCCTTGGGCTGAAAGCAGTGACGAGCTCAAAAGAAGACAGTCAGAAATCAATACTAGTGACAACACAGATATAAATGATGACATTAATGATAAATAACTTAAAGGAATTATCATAATCAGCTCGTTCACACTATATGAATTTAAACATGCTTTCAAAATATGACAATTTAAGCCCAACACTGATAAGAACATTTCATTTACCATCTAACATGAGGAATGATACATCTTTACGCCTACATATTAAATATGCATGTCAAATGAATGATTTCATACTAGTATCCCCAAGTGCTCTCGCTTCATCATACTCAAGATATCTGTCTCAAATGCCCACTTTATCACACACACACAGTCACTTAGCATTGTACAGTTGTCTGGCATCAATGTCCCTTACCAAAGCACGTATATATATATATATCACTGCGCATGCGCTCATGGTATGTCAGACTCCGAAGGGACGGATCCTGCCCAAGCGCTAATCAAAAGCCAATATGGCTTGCTGCGGCGTGCAGTCCGATCCAAATAATAATAAAGCCAATATGGTCTGCTGCGGCGTGCAGCCCGATCCAAATAGCACTCTCAACACAACCCTAAGACCAACCTTAGTCATCAACCTCTCAAGTCTCAAGGGTTCTCAATCTCATCTCAAGCCCTAAAAGTTTTGAAATAAGGAAGAATTTTTATAAAGAATAATGTAATCGATTTTAAACTCCTAAATATTAGGAATTGCTAGAGAGTTCAAATAGGAAAATATTTAATGATCAAATTTTAGTTGATTTTAAACTCCTAATTTATAGAAAAAATAATTGAATGACAATTTTGTCCAGTGTAAAATATGTTTATGAAGGATAAAAAAGACGAACGACATTTCGCCAAGGACCTTCGTGCTTTTAATATAGTATAAATAGATATTAAATATAGAATAGACATAGATTAGGAACGCCCTAAAACGCATTAGACATGTGTTATCATAAGTTTTTTTCTGTTATTTAATTCAGATAAAAATTTTAAGAAAAAGAAAATCATAGAAATTTTGCTCTATATAGGATCACCTTTGTAAAAAACATTTAAAAGAAAAACAAAACATTTCAAAACCTTTTTCATGAAAAATGAAAAATATGTATAAGAAGGCTCCGACCCTAACGAGGTACTCCGTCCTCCTCTCTTCACAACTAAAATGAGTTGCCAGAACAGTAAAACAGAAGAAACGGCCGACGAGCAACACAATACCAGCAAAGACCCTAAACACAAACCCTTCTTTGACGTTTACGGCCCTCAGGTTTGGAACCTTTCATGTTATATGTATATATGTGTTGTGTATTTACAAAGGTTCGACTATTATATATCATGAATGTCAATTTATTTGGCTTATATTATGAGTTAAATCCACTTGGGTCTCTTTAAAAGGTTCCAAAATTGTCAACACACATTTTTTTTGGGTTTGTTGACTAACCCACTGGTTATTAATACACTAGTTTACTGGTTTATGTATAAAACCAGAAGGGAGAAAAGAGTGAAGGAGGAAAAACTTAGACAAGGGAAGAAAACCTTTTTAGAGCTTGTGGGCTGAGTTTATCTAATTGGTTTGTATTGGCTGGAGTTTCAATTGTTTAAAAGAGGAATCGCTTTTTAAGAAATCCTTTTTTAATTTTAAAAGAGGAATCTTGGTGAGAGAAATGGAGGTCCTTGCTAATGAAAAATTAGTGCTATCAGGAGATATGTTTTTGATTGTGGATTAGATTGAAATTCGTTATAAAGGCATTAACTTTGGAAAATAACTAGTTCTGATAGAAACTCAAAATGGAGAAAAGAGACGAGACTACAAAAGTGGAAAAGAAAGTATCTTTTTTAAAACCGATAAAAGAACTATCTTTTGCGATTTGCAGACTGAGTTCATTTAAGTGGGTTGTATTATCTAGACCTTTTAAGTTGCTCACCTGAAGAAGAGGAATGTTGTTTGGAAAAATTAATATATGTGTTATTGAAAATTTGGACCACCATTACATGCTATTCCTGTTGTGAGCATCATTCTCCATTTGGTGGTTGGTAGTTAGTTTTGCTGTGTTTGTTTTGGAGACAGTGGTTATTTTGTTAAATTTTCCAAAGTAGTTGTGCCTGATCCGTTAATATATGTCATTGTGCAAGAGAAACTATAACTCGATACATGCATGTTGGTTGAACTGTGTATAAATGTCTGTGTCATTGGTATTCAAGTTTTGAGTGTGGTGCAGGGGAGGGCAGATATTGTTTTCAATCAACCGGAATCCAATTCAACTTTGAATCTTCAAGTATGTTCTATAACATACTGATCGAGGTTATTTGTTCTTATTTTACAAGAGGTTAGAAGTTGATTTATCATGCTTAATGTGATAATACAGGACGTGCAAGGTCTTGTCACATGGGTGCTTGCTGATGGGTTCATGCCGTCATGGGCTTTTATCAAAGTAATGCATTTCATTCATTTCGTGGCGTGGTTTTTCGTGCATCTCTTTATATGTATATCAGATGCACAAACATCTCACTCTTTTGTAATCCTTCAATGAAAATCTGGTGAGGACAGGTTGAGATGTCCTTACCTTGAGATTTATCATTCAACCGGAGTCCTTATCAAGGATTCATTGCTTACTGGATTATTTGAATAACCTAGCCAACAATGAATCTTTGTTAGGTGGTCTAGATTATACTGAAGAACGATAACCTTAACTGTTCATTTACATCTCCAGTCTAGATAGATGATCTAGGTTTTGCTAGTGACCTACATTATGGTATTAGACACAGATAGATTATACTGAAGAACGATAACCTTAACATAATTCTAAAGAAGTATGTTGATGATTATATAAATCAATATGGAGTATCTGATATTGTGCAATTATGTGCTGTTAGATTCACTTACTGACCCACCCGTTTGAAAAGAAATAAGTCATGTCTCCTTTACGTCTCTTCTTGACACATAGAATGAAAGAAATCGAAGATTTGTCCAAAATAGCAGGGACAATGTGAAATGAAAGATCATTTTTTATTTGTTTGTCTGGTGTAAGGAAAGAATACCATTCTGACTCAGTTGAGTCACATTGACAACTTGTAAATATCTGCTGATACGGATTTGGTGTTTATATTATAGAATTTATGGACTATCANCACATAGAATGAAAGAAATCGAAGATTTGTCCAAAATAGCGGGGACAATGTGAAATGAAAGATCATTTTTAATTGTTAGTCTGGTGTAAGGAAAGAATACCATTCTGACTCAGTTGAGTCACATTGACAACTTGTAAATATCTGCTGACACGGATTTGGTGTTTATATTATAGAAATTATGGACTATCAAAAAAAGGGAAGAAAAAAAGAAAGAAATCAATTTTGGACTTATTTCCCATCTTAGGTGTTCACATTGACATATTTTGCTGTATGTAGCAAATACCTGTATGAATTCACAAAAAGACATTTGTACGCTTTCCTTCAATTAGTAATTTGCAGTCTTCGAAATTACCCTTCATTTAGTAATATGCAGTCTTAGACTCAGCTTTATTCTTTATTCTTCGATAATTCAAATATTAGTTCCTGTTTTTGACTTTTATGTTACTGTGATGAATATACAGAATCCACCATCAACACACATAGTTGCAGTATCTTAGATGTCATTGTGAGTCATTAGGATAATGAGTTAGTTGCAAAGATTTTCTTACTTGAGTTTGAGCTCTATTTGAAACAGAATCAATGAAATTTTGATAATACTAAAAAAATGGTTATGGTTTTACTTGCTGTTGGGTCTTTTGTCATATGAGATTCGGGGTGTTGTACATCCTGAACTTTTAATATTTTGCACATTTGTCATTTGATGTGTAAGGAGATAGAATTTAGTTAATGAAGGTGCTTGTTTGGCTTTTGGATGTCTGAATCAGTTTTCTGATGAATAATATCCTCATTAGAGGCTGAATGTAGTTTCTTCTTTCCCTCTTTCTTTTTGCATGCAGAACAAGCCTTTGATCCCTAAAGTGGTTATGCTGTATGTTCCTGGCCTTGATGCCGCTCTATATTTGTCACAGTCTAAAGTGCTCAAAGGTTTCAAAGAATGCTGTGGTATTCCGAGGCCAGTTTTAGCTCTGAGGTTGCTTATACATTAATGTTCGAATAATCAATGTCTTATAACTCGTGTTACTTGTCTTTAAACTTTTTGGTACTCTGTCAATGGAAATTATGGTTTTCTTATTATTATTGGCTATTGTCATGGTAGCTGTGTATCAGATGGAAATCAGACAATAGATGCACTCCTTACGTACAAATCAAAGAGGAAAAGGAAAGAAGCTGAGCACATTTCACCAATAAACACCGAGCCTTCTGAACAAGGTCCGAGTCTGATCCAAGAAAAATTCTAGAAGTCTTTGTTGCAATTTCTTTGCTATTGTGGTTCCACTTCTGGTTAGTTTTAAGATGGTAGAGGTTCATTTGCTTGTGGGAAGGAGGCCTAGAAACGACATGCCTGGTAAAGCAGGCACAGTCTCTTCCAACTTTATATTAACAGGACTGCTCTGTTCTATGTTGTAATTTATAACCTTGTCTGCACCTTTCTAAGATCTGTTTATGTTACACTTTTTGCCCCCTATAAGTTTTAGAGAAGCTTCATGGATGGTTCCTGCTAGAATGGTTAGATTTTCTGCTGGCTGTTAAATTAGAGAACTGGGTGAATATTCTACCAAGACTTTTCAGAAATAGACAAGTTGCTTGATTTTATTTAATTTGGATTCGCTCAACTGCTCTCTGCTTTTTTTGCCTGTTTTAATTCAGACATCGAGCGCTGCTGACAACCCTAAAAACTGAATTTAACAGTTAAAGATTCTTCTGAACAGTTCTCAATTGAGCTCTTTGTGCTCTGGTTAGTCAATATGGTCTGATACTTGCCTATAGTTTCTCGTCTCCTGTGACATAGCAGGTTTGTCGAGTGATGGCATAAATCATATTGTCTAATACGCCATGCTTGTTACCACATATTCTTATTTGCAACCCTAGTGATTGAAAAAAATGCTCATAGTGACTGATTTGAGCAAACATCCTGTTTGGAGCCGCAGCAAACTTTTTCCAGATATGCAACTCAAGAGCAGGAGTTGAAAATAATGACTTTTTCTTTCCCCATCTTCAACGATGTTTAAAGGTCAAAGCATGAAGGATAGAATTACTTTAGTAGCAGTTGTAAATATCAGTAAACTGTTGAATCCTTGTCTCTTCCATGAAAAAACAAAAATGCAACCCTTTTTGCAATATATGAACTTAATAATGGTGTGCCTGGTTTTTATATACTGAAGATAGGCTATCTCCAAAGATCTGACAAGTAACAAGAAGATAACATTTGGAACTATTATATTTCATTGAGTTCTATTGCAGATATTTAGAATTATAAATCATGGAGATTTTCAAAAATAGGTCTTTGTTTGAAATGTGGATCTTTTTAAGGGGAGGGTGAGTGGTGGCACTGCCACAAATGATATGCACGCAGGAGCAGTCATAAATCAAAAAGGAACTTCTTTTCCCCCTAACACTCTCTTATGTTGTGTTTCGATAATAGCCAAGTTTCCAAGCACACCTTAATCATCCCCTTATTCATGCAGGTGCTGAGACTCCCACTATGGAGCCTCTATCTTTTGTTGACCTCAAAAAGGATATACCATTTCCCATCAGTTATTACACACTTACGGATAAGGAACTAGAAGAAAATGGATACTGTTATGACCAACCAGGTGACATGCATTCCAAGAACTTGAAATTTATTGAATTATTTCATTAAGATTATTGACAGTTTACCATGGTTTTTCATTACCCATGTAGAATTTCTTTCGACGCTCCCTGCTCCTTCAGGAACATCTCCACATGAAATTTTGGCCCTTGACTGCGAGATGGTAACTTAACAGCAATTTAACTTTATCTGTTCATCATAATCTTATGGTTTAGTATTTCTAAAGTACTTATATTGCATAAGGATGCTGTCTGCTTCTCTTCATTTCCTTACTCCGTGAAGATAAATATTTGAGAAGAGGGTGGGGATTTTATGCTTTTTGGAGCCGAGAGTCTCCTGGAAACAGCCTCTCTACCCTTCGGGGTATGGGTAAGGTCTGCGTACATATTACCCTCCCCAGACCCCACTTGTGGGATTTATACTGGGTCGTTGTTGTTGTTGTTGTAGGGTGGGGATTTTAATTATGACTAGTAGTCATGTTTTTAGATGAGATATGTTTTACACTAGTTGCTTAACTGTTACTGCATCTAGATATCTTTGACAAGTTTGGTGATGCGAGGAGACTTCGATTTATCAGTTTATGTGGTTCAAAAGTGATGTATATAATATAAAATATCAGTTCTGAGGTAATGGGGATAAAAGTTGTCTTCAGATTAGTTGGACTTGAGAATCCTGAAGATGGTACAAGAAGTTAGAGTCCTCAAGATTGTACAAGAAGTATAGCCGACTTCTCTAGCAGTGTGTTCCGCTGCAAATAGCCTTTGCTTTGTACCTCGTATGGTTTGTCTCATCAATGTTATTCAATGATAGAAAGGCTCTTCCATTGCTTGCGACTGCATATACATTTTATCAAGAAGCTTCTCTGTGTTGCACGTGAAGCCAAAACAATAACTTTTGATGTATCTTCTGTAGGCAGGCTGACCGATATGTTATGCTTGCCGTTCTTAATTTTTTCTTTTCTTAACTTGTTAACTTTTCGGGCTGGAGCAGGGGAAATGCTTGTTTATTATTGACTCATTGTTCTTTAAATTGGAGGCCTTGCAAACAAAGCTCATTTCATTTTACTAAGAATACCCGTCTTTGTAGTGTATTACAAGGGAAGGCTTTGAGCTTACCAGAGTGACACTAGTGGATGTTAAAGGACAGGTACTTCATCTTATTTCTTTTCTTGCTCAACTTTTTGTCCCTCGCTTGCATGACAATTAGGTGATCCATTTATTACGTTAATAGTTCCATTCTGTTTAAAGTTGTTTCCTCATCATGTAGTTTGGTCCATAGTGAGTTGTTTTCTATGTAGAAATGCCATTCATCCTGATCTTTTGACGTTTTATTGGTCTTTTTGCCTTTGTGAGAGGTGGTCCGTAATTAGTTTATGTGAACCAGCCTTGTTAGGATACTTTATTTTAATATGAACTAGCTGGCATATATGTTAGGATTACTTGTTTTTGTAGTTGACCACTATTGTGATTAGGAGTGGCAAACATGCGGGTCGGATATGGTTCCGGTCGAACACAGGTAATGAAAAAACGGTTAAATTATCCGACCCGACCCATATTTAATACGGATAAAAAGCGGGTTAACCGGCGGATAATATGGGTAACCATATTATCCATGACTTCTTAAATATGATGACTTTTGGGAGAATTCCTAGTCTCCCAAGCTTGAGGAACCCCCCAATTTGAGGCTTTACAAATGTAAAAGTTAAACCCATTTAGTTATCCATTAGTTATCCGTTTTCTAAATGGATAATATGGTTCTTATCCATATTTGACCTGTTTTTAAAAAATTCATTATCCAACCCATTTTATAGGGTATAATATGGGTAGTTAAAAGTTTTCTTTTAACCACTTTGCCTCCGCTAGTTGTGATCCAGGCACCTTTTTTCATTAAAAATATAACAAGTCAGCAGGTATATATTTCCCTTTATCAATCAATCAACAATCAAATACACCAAAAAAAAAAAATACACCTCAATACCATCTAGTTGGGATCGCCTATGAATCGTCTATATCCTTCCCGCACTATTTGGGCTATCTCCAATGCTTTAATATGAATCAGAATGCATTATATGTTGGGATTGTTGATTTGTATAGCTGAAACCTGTAGTGATTTGTTAGCACATTTATATTGCCCATTGGTCCATGCATCATGTGTTAATTGATATTATTCCGTTGTATGTGTTTTACGCGAATTCGATGGTCTACCAAGTTCTTTTTGCTTCTTTTATCCCCCTGTATGGTCATCAGAAGTCTCAACTTGATGTCAAGTATACCCCCCTGGCCTGTTTCGAGAGATTTTGATCTGTGATCAGTTGTCTGATGGTCTTTCAGATGATATCAATAGGACTACTGCTTTTTCTGTTGCTAATATCATTAACCATTTGCAGGTTCTGCTGGATAAATTGGTCAAACCATCAAACAACATTGTTGACTACAATACTAGGTGCTTATGTCTGCTAACTTCTAAATTTTCAGTTGATCACACATGCTAAAATATATACTTAGTAGATTCGAGAATTAGCCACCATATTATTGTTGAAGTCTGTGTTTTGTATCAACTTCCAAATGATTTTTATTGTGTTTCTTTTTTATGGAATTTGCTTTTCAGTGGTATTCAAATGGTGTATCCATGTTAATAGGCATTCATGTATTACTGTCAGAGCTTGATTTTGTTTTTCTTTGACTCTTATTTTATCTTAATCAATCAAAAGAATGTCTCGCATGTCAAGTTTTCATGCCTGATTTAGTAAGAGTTGATTACTGTTACCATTTTGATCTTGGGGCTGCCATATAAGTTTGATTAAATCAATGAACTTTATTGTGTATTTAGTATTTTCTTGATCTCAAAAATTTGGAGTTTCATGTAATAATAAAAACTACCTCGTATAGTTCATGGAAAAGAGAACTGAAACGTTATATCTTTTTTTAATAAAGGAACCAAGCCAAGATAAATCTGAGAATAGATTAATTTTTTGCTTCTTCCTTGTCTCTTTTTTAAAATCATAACGGTGGTGTCCAGCCAACTTGTTGTGTTCACCTCGACTATTCCACCGAGTAGCTGCTACATCCCACTAACACAGGTACCTTGGTACCTCTGCCTACCAAGGTTTACCCAAATACCAAGTATCATTTGTCTCCGTTGGGATTTGTACCTTGGCTACGGTTTGCACCCACTTCATTGACCACTCCACCATGCCCTTGTCTCTTATTTCTCTGTCTATTATCTTTTAAATTTTCCAGTCTCTCATTGCCATTAGTAAAAGAAAAGTGCACTCTAAGACGAAAGGTAACAAGGAGGGGGAAAAGACACAGAAGGAAGAAGAATAAGAAAATGGAACCAAGAAAAAGATATTACTAAAGACTCGAGCTTCACAGCCAGGACCTAATCTCCCTCCGCAGCTTCCCCTTTTCAGTTTCGCTTGTTCTTTTAATTTTAGGGATAAAACCTTTTCCTGTTAACCATAAACAAAAAGTTTCTTGGTATTTCCTATAAAATCATTCTATTTCTCTCTCTCTCTCTCTCTCTCTCTCTCTCTCTCTCTCTTTCTATAGTCTCTCACCTTTTTACCTTTATATTTTTGTACCAACCTTATCTCCTATGGTAAATATTCTTGAAATTCTAGACCTCCATTAATACCAACGCAACTCGCCTCAAACCACACTTTCCCAGCAAGGTATCGCAAAAATGGCAGAAGGGTTATGTGGGTGGTAATTCGGGATGCATTTTTTTTGTTTTTTTGAGAAGGTAGCAAAATTGGTGTGCAGTTTGTAGGGCTATAATTTTTATCTTTCTTTTTTTGTTCTCTGTGTTTTTCCATTTTATATTGTTATGGGGTAGAGCGAGTCTCGGCTTAGTGAGGGATAATGTGGAAACAGAACTGGATGGATGATTCAAAAGAAAGCTGTTGTTTAAGAAAAAAAGGTCAACTTTAGGAGTTTTATGGAAAAGATAGCTGTTTATTCTCACTTTCTGATTGTGTCTTGGTGTTGCTATCAGTTTCTCATAGAAAAAATAGCTTTTGATTTTATTTTCTTAAGTTCATTTTTAAAGATTGTTGCATTTTCACCCATTTCTGACGTCTAAGAGAAAGATGGGGGTGGGGAAGGGGGGAGTGCTCAGTGGGGAGGCTAACACAGCTGAAATTCAACTTGCAGTTGCTGAACTGTGCCAATTTTCTTCTGATGTAGGCGAAATAAAATTTCTTGTTTATTAGCTAAAATAGTTGCTTTATTGGTACGGTAACCTAAAATAGTTGTTAAGCACAAAATTACTTAACGATGCAGGAAAAAGAATATTTCCCCCCCAAAAAAAGAGGAAGACAAAACTAATAAACAAACCTAGGAGGTACATTCTCTTTCTTGAAGATTTTAGTCTTATCTCTAGTTTTTTTTCTGGGTGGGACGGAAGCTCATTAACTCTGAATGCAAGTCTTTAACTTGAAAGAACACCTTTAGCTTGTTTGCAGTTTAAAAATATATGCTTTCTCTTTTCATTAAGTGATAGCCTTGCTTTATGTTTAGCAATCTGAACTTTTGCAGGTATAGTGGAATTACTTGTCAGATGTTGGAGGATGTGACTACCACTCTTAAAGATATCCAGGTTCATTAGTAGAGCCTTTCGTCTGCTAGCCTCTTTCTTCCATTTTAATAATTGGAAATGAAGCAATTATCATTAATACTTTCTTGCAGATTTTTTGGACTTGCATGGTGGATGATTTGCTATACATGTCCTACTTGTGTTAACTATTTTTTCTTTCTTCAGGAGGAGTTCTTGAAACTGGTTTACAAGGAGACCATTCTGGTTGGGCATTCCTTGGAAAATGATTTGTTAGCCCTGAAGATCATTCATAATTTGGTAATAGATACTGCTGTGTTGTACAAACATCCAAGAGGATCCTACAAAGCTGCTCTTCGCGTTCTGAGCAGAAAATTTCTCGGCAGGGAGATACAGGACTCGGGCAATGGGCATGACAGCATTGAAGATGCAAAAGCTACACTGGAACTAGCACTACTAAAAATAAAAAATGGTAGGCTATTTCCTTTCTAGTTTTGATAATGAAAAATGGTAGGCTATTTCCTTTCTAGTTTTGATAATGAAAAATGGTAGGCTATTTCCTTTTTACGCATTCTAATGCGCCACTAAATTAGTGTTATCAAAGGCGAAAAACACAAAAAAGCTCTAAGGTCCGGTGGAGCTTTAAGCGCAAATAAAGCGTGGGATTTAATGAAGAAACGTGCAAATGAAGAATAACTACAAATATATATATATATATGTGTAGTCCAAGACTTAATATCTATAAGCGTGAATACCAAATATATGGACAAAGAAATTGAAGAAATTTACGATAAAGTAAAATATCAATTGTTTAGTGTAGCCTCTTTAGGATTACGTTCATTGGTAAGCAAAAGTATGTCTTAGAGTCTTGATGACAACACTAAAGCGCCCAACATGTTTTGAGCCTCGTTTCAGGGCTTAAGCGCTCTTTAAGCGCGCCTTTGATTACACTGCACTAAATGTTGTGCGCTCTAAACTCTTAGCGGCCCTTTTGTTTGGTATCGTGGAGGCAAGAAAGAAGGGAAGTGTGCAGGGGTAGAGCTAATTGCATGATATGTAAGTGTTTTTTTTTTCTTTTTGCCTTTTCTCCTTTAGGTTCCTCTTGGTCTATCCTCTCATTAAGTTGGGCCCAGAAATGCTCTGAACCAATGGAAGGCCATGTTTTGGCCCTATTTCTCCAGCATATTGTCCTTTCTGTTTGGATTTCAAACTTGAGAGTCTCCTCCTTTCTTCTGTTAGGGAAAATCAGAGACTTGGTGTCTGGTGCCATCTTTGGCATCACTTAAGTTACTCCTGTTGACCCACATCTGCTGTGAAGGTAACAAAAAGAAATCACCCACCCTCCCACCTTTACCTTCTTAAAACTCAATCTGCTTTAGCATCTAAGCGTCCAATTTGTCTCAATTTTTAATAATTTTAACCTCTTAACACGCTAGAAATGTTGGAAAAAGACGTGCTTGCCACGTTCAAAACTATGGGGGGACCTGGTTCTATTAAGGTGTAAAAGGGAAATTAGTGCAAGTTTTGTGCGTGTGTGTGTGTGTGGGGGGGGGGGGGGTATGTATTAAGCCCTAAAACATAATCTTAACTAATTTGTATCGCCTACATAGATCTTGGATATAGGAACATAATCCTGCCCTTAGCTTTCACTATAGCATGAATGAATTGATGCTTGCTAAACACATTTGTGACCTAAATGATCCCTCATCATATAGATCAGCAGTTTGCATGATAGTTAGTGCTGTTAGTGACTAATTGCATCAAATATAAAAAATGAGGCTGCTAGATAAATTGCAGGTAACATGTAATTTGAACTTTGTGAGTAGATTATATGAAAACGAGACATACAAGCAAGCCATTCTTGTGTTTTCTTTTTCGATATCTATTTACCTTCTCTTTTTTAGCTTGTCCAAATGGAGTTCTTTTTATGCTATTTTATGTTGTTTATGATGGCCCATCACCAAATCATCTCCTTTTTGCTTTTTGGATCAACGCATCCTAGACTTCATTGGGCTGTAACTTCCTGAACTAGGGCCTGATTTTGGTATACCTCAATGTCAACGATTACTGCGGCAGAAGCTTCTTTCAGTTCTGAGTGACTCTGGCAAAAAATCCTCAATCATTGATCATATATCCATAGTGAGGAGATATGCTGCTGAATTGTCCCATACAATTCCAGTATCATCTGATGATGAAGCACTTTCAAAAGCCAACAAAGAGGTTAGTCAAAAGAATCTAATTTGCTAGATTTTCAGAAAGCAGACTGATTAGGAACCTGACAGCTCACTATACTGACATCGCTTGCCTTCATAGGTCAGAAATGATAAAGTACAGTTTATCTGGACGCAATTTGCAGAGTTATATGCATATCTCAGGAAGCAAGCAGATGACCCGGAGAAGCTAAATAAAAAGTTGGCAGAAATGATAGCATTGCTGACGTGTGAGAAAAAGTCTACTAGCAGAAGAAATGTCAAATATGATGTCACCCCTGAACTGAAGGACATTCTGAGCCACATGAATCGTAGAGTCAGGAGCATTTACTCCAATCTTCCTCTAAATGCAATGCTTATTATTTGCACTGGTCATGGAGACACTGCAATAGTTCAAAGGTAAAATCTTATTTGGCTGAATTGTTTGTTTCCAAGGAATAAATGCACAAACTCCTGTTCCTCTCTCCCTTACTTTGAACTAAGCATAATGTAAGTTATTTACTGGGTTTTAGAGATTTAGCTTTAGCTTCTATAGTCGGATGGCTGGCCTTGGTGACTGCTGATGCTCTTCAAGATTATGGAACATCGTTACTATTTTTTGATAGCTAAATGACATTTATTGACAAAAATTGAGAGTGATTCACGCATAGCAGTGTAGGGGGTAGCTTATCATAGTTTTAGCATCAATCTTTGGCTACTATGCTAAAACAATTGCTTTTTATTTATTTTGCTGATTTCTTGAACATGAGGTCATATTCCATCTCTTAGCAAGCAAGCTCACAAAATTTAGTAGCTAATGCATTAAGGCTCATATGGTTTGATTCATTAGAGAAATAATCTTGTGTGTTTGGTTACCATTTTTGTTTCTTACATATATCATACATGCGACTTATGTGATAGTATATGCACTATTTAATGTTGAATTTAATGTGGAATAACAAAATGCAAATATTAGCAATACATGTAGTTTTTCAAAAATATTAGAAAAAATTTGAAAATAAACTTTTCGTGGTTGAAAAAGAATTCAGGATTTATTTATCTCATATGTTTAGTATACTTCATTCAACTTTCCTGTGAAAGTGTTGTTTTATTGAGAAAATAAAAAATATTTAGTTTCTAATAGTATACTTTAATTATTTCTTAACACAATGTTAAAACCAATACTAGATCGGGCAAAGTTTTTACCTAGGCCGAGATTATTATTGGAAACAAATCTGTATCCAACTTAAGACCAAAACCTTTTTTAGATATACATCATGTATCTAGAAAAGGTTTCAATATGAAGAACCAAACATCTTAGAGAATTATGATAATCCAGTAATTATTAATCATCTTAACACAATCTGTACTTTATAAACCGTGTATAACTTGTTCGCAAAACTAATGAGTTCTTACTGCATTGCGTAGACAGGTAGTTTTCTTGCCAGATTAAATGGTACCTCGCCACAGTATATGCCACCTCTCTGTTTCTAACAATTGCTAAAATCATATGAAGTAATCCTGCTAAAATTTGCCTCATAATCTCAAAACTGTTACTTTCATTTTTCTCTCTAAATTTTTTGAAGTCTTAAAGCTGTATTTTCTACCAGTAATTGTTACAGAGACCTCTTGTTTATCATCACGAAGAGAATCTTTTTCCCCCTTAGGCTAACAGTTTTTCTCTATTATATATTCTTTGTTCAAAACTTTCTGCTACCTCTTCTTAGCCTTGATTTTTTTACAAAGTTTGATAGAAGGCTTGGTTAATTACCAATTGTTTTTGACTCTGTCTATGTATGAGTAAGTGTTCCACAGCATGTCCTTTTATTATCCTTTTCCGCTACTGATCCTCTTGAGTATTGGGGGGTGGGAAGTTTGTCCAGTTTAGTGCGGAGTGATTCAAAAATCTTGTATTGGATTCTTGAATAAATGGCTAGTCATATGGAGATCGAGGAAGTATCTGATTTCCTGTCTTGTAGTTGCCAGTCGTTTTGTAGTTTCAAGGCTGATAATATGTTAGTGCTAAGCAAATCTGCTGATTTTTTTTCTTCCTTTTTGTGCATGCAGAGTGAGGAAAATCTTGTCGGAGCAGACGGATGCCTCAATGTCCCGTGAGAATATTGTTAAAGTCTTAGAAGAGTTGCAGGCACAAGCTGAAGTTGGTTTGTGCTTTGTAGGTGTCAAACATTGATCCCATCTGTTATTTTACACTATATTCTACGAATTTTATCAGGGTAGAATTGGACTAGGAAGTTGTGCAATGAAGCAACTTCCTATGAGGGAAATTTTTGAAGTAAAGGTAGTTGTAAACTTGTATATCAAAGGTGTCTTATTGCTTTTCATTGGCTATGGGGCAGTTACAGTTAATGAGGAGCTGAACCACTTGTTATAGTTGTATGGCCAACTTATTATACTTTTCTATGTTCTTGGCTATTTGTAGGTTATATGCTATCTTAAAACCTGAGTCATCTTTTACTATTATTGTTTTTGGTAAATCTCTTGGTATTGCGTCCAGTGATTTCACCTACATTCACAAGGTCAACAGCCAATAATATGGACGAACAATTGATGATTAAGGCGAAGACCTAAGTAGTGCTCCACTAAGAAACTGATAACTATTCGTTAAGTTGAGTTAGAGGACTTGGACCAAAACTAAAATCCAAGATTCATGTATCCTACCTTAAATTTTATTACAATAGTTGACTTTCAATTTCTTAAGCCAAAGTTGTAAAAGCCATTGACTAGGCGGGGTTTGTGCAAAAAAATGCAGAAATATGACACCGTAAGGGGTGGTCTGGAATTTTTGTCCTATTGTTTGCCTCATGGGCAAACCTTCAAGGTTAAATTTTTTTTGCCCCATGAGCTTTACTTTTGAATTATAACCTTGAAGGTTTGCCCATAGGGTAAGCGTGGATAAAAATTCAAGACATCCAGTTTCAAGGTCATTCTTGTAAATCACCCGGTTTGTGGCTATAAGCTTTGGTTACTAATTCCATTTTTTCAATGACAGTTCGTTAAGATCAGTTTGTACAACTTGGACTAAATCATCACATACAACCAGAGACATAAGCACTTACCTTAGACTTCAATTAGCCTCTTCATACATCAGAATTTCTCTAATTAAACAAGCTTGACCTTGAAGGGAGCCTTAACGTAACTGGTAAAGTTGCTGCCGTGTAACCAGGAGGTCACGGGTTCGAACCATGAAAATAGCCTCTTCAAAAAATACAGGGTAAGATTGCGTACAATAGACTCTAAGTTGCGTACGATAGACCCTTGTGGTTCGGCCCTTCCCCGGACCCCGCGCATAGTGGGAGCTTAGTGCACTGGACGACCCTTTTTTTAAACAAGCTCGACCTTGAAAAAAGGAGTGGCAGGCTAAAAAGCTCTTGAGCATTTTAACTTGACCACTAAAGAAGGGATATGCTGGTTGGGATAACTGCTATTTACCTGGCCAAAACAGGTGAAGTGGCTGCAGTATTTGACCCATTTGGTCTAATATGGCGTGAAACCACCAGTAACTAAGGTAAACAACATAGTAAAAGCACCAATTTTTGCGGTACAAGAAAGAAGGGAATTAAGGAAACCCCAAATTTTCCTCAAATTTCTTGGTTGTATGCAGGAACTAGATGTAAGACTCAGCATGAAGTTGCTCTTGTCCTAGCTCAAAATACTCACTCACTTTCGAGATGCTCATAAAAAAATGGTGAAAGGGAAGAAAATCAGTTTATTCCTAACTTCTCATCAAACCTATATTAGCAGATATTGTTAATTTTCATCATCAATAGCCTCAAAGTATATAATGTCATGCATTCTGATCATAAACACTGAATATTATCACAAAGTCAGATGTCATTACAAGTTTATATGAGAAAAGCATACTTTGTAACTATTTCCAAGCTGAAGCAACAATCAAGCTCTTGTCTTCCCACCCAAAATGGAGTGCACCTGCTTCCTCCTTTGCTTTGTACCTTTCACTATATTGCTTGATAAGATTCTTGATCGAGTCGTAGACGTTTGGACTAATTGGGGATGGAGTGAAACCAGCCATCATCATCCTAGCTCTCCATTTTCCTGCAACTTCATAACGCTCTATTCTCTCCTCTCCCTCACAGGCAACAATGTTTATAATATCACGCGCAAGACATTGCCGTTCTACATTAACCCTCTCTTGGCTATCTCTTGAAAGAGTTGCATCGAGAGACTCGAATACAGCAGAATAGTAGTTGTAGACTTCTGCAACCCTTTGTAGAAATGGGGTGGTGTTAGTGTTCATGTCTTGTTCAACAACTGTTACCAGCTTCGGATTTAAGCTCTTCACCATCCGCAGAAGCTGGTCTCTCTGGTTGACCGTTGATACACTTTCATCAGGCATGTGATGAAGCTGGAATGCAAAGTTCACGATAAGAGCTTCGCCAGGATGACAGTTTAACATTGCCGGGGTGACTAATGCAGTGTTTGAAGCCACCGCTTGGAATTCGAAAGGTATCTTAAAATCTTTAGCCAGCTCTTCAAGCCTCAGTCCAATGACATTAAGGCCTCCAATAGCACGTTGAACAGATTCAGGGTCGTCTACCCCGGTTAACCTCAAATGGGGCGGCTTACCAGGCATACTTGCCAACGTCTGCAATAAAGTGTAATATTGACTTCCCTGGTTAATGTCAAAATCTATGATGTGAACTCTTTTCTCATCTTTAAAAGCCTCTAAGATTGCACCATTTGCCGCCATAAAACCAAACCTGAAATACGGACATACTTCAAAGAGGACCTGCATAGCAGAGAGCCTCTCAGAAAAGAGCGCTTCTTTACATTTTAGAGCTTTATAAAGACCTTTGCCAGATGTGGCCATTCGGGCTGCAAGAGCCTCAACCATGTAAGCTGCAGTTCTTTCAAGAGGTTCACCCTGGATAGAGACCATTTGCCTCAGCTCATTAATCATCGACGATGCTTGTTCAATGTTTCCATCTTGAATAGCAGCAGCACAACTAAAAAGCATCTGCTTTGGAGTTTGTGGAGCAGTTACAGATATTTCCTTGTAGCTACTGCTGCTACTGATATTAGAATCTGCGGACGTAGACTCCTTAGGAGAGTCATGAAGCAACACAGTTCCGATTTGGCTAAACCATTCATCATCTATGTCCATACACTGCCCACGAGCAAATACGTCATCCCCATCAACTTCGTTATCGTCAAAAAGTACCCTCTCAAGTTCTTGTAGCTTCAGTGTCACCCTTCCGTCATTGTATTGTAATGAATCTGGCCTTTGACTGACAATGTCTTCACAATCATAACTAAGCTGGCACGCATCATAGTCTCTTGATGGGTGGAAAGAAGACGAATGCCTCTGGTGAAATGGATTCCCGGAGACTTCTGAAGGTGATGTGTTTAGAAGTTCTTCTGAAGGTGATGTGTTTAGAAGTTCTTCTGAAGGTGAAGGAGAGTCGAGCAAATACTTGGGATCATAACTGTCTGTGCTGCTAGACTCGGTTGCATACATAATTCCATGTGCATTTTTGGTGAACATGGATGTTGACAAGCCAGAGTTGTCCTTGTGATCATTTGGAAAGTAGAGTTTCCCATTTCCAATAGTTCTAACAGATCTAACTAAAGACATGGTTCACTTCTTATTCTTATTCTCAAAATAAAGTTGCTTGAATTTTGCCCTTACAAAAACTGCTACTCAATTGCGGGATCCTTGTAGCTGAATCTCGTATATGGGAAATGTTCTCGCAGCTACTGAAACATCAAACAGAGACACAGTCCAATTAGACAACAGAAAACCAATAGTGTAAAAGAAGACAATATTAAAAGACAGCTAACGGGAGAATCTCAAATAGAAGAAATATGCATTGTTTTTAAAATAATCCTTGTGCACTGGATATCAAGTCAGGGAACAGAAGATTCAAAATTTGAGATAAAATGCAGCAGATTCAACAGCAGAAAATGATTTTAGTGATAAGAATATGTACTCTCCTCCCTATTGCTATTTGAAATCCTTGAGCTTTGAAATTAGTAACTAAACCTATGATACCAAGGGAATTCAATGATAGCAAGTCATCTCTACCAACATGCAACGGCATCAACTCCCAAATCACTAAAACTTTTCAAGCTTAAGAAGAATTCTTTACGAAGAAATACTACTATTATCAAGGACTTTCAATCATCCAAAAGGAGTATACTTTGTGCCAGACTCCAGCAAAAGCTAGGTCTTACTTTTGTTAAGTTAGAAGTTTCCTTAATCTACTACACTTGAAGAATGATACTGGATTTACATGTCCAACGTTCACCCAAGGGCGAAGCCACACTTTGGTTAGGGTGGTCAATTGACCACCCTTTGTCCGAAAATTAATATGCAATATATAGGTAAAATATCAGGTTTTAAAGGTACATAACATATATTGAACACTCTTTGTCGGAAATTTTGTTTAGTTCTTTCAAGTTTGAACACCCTTGAGGAAATTCTTGGCTTCGCCACTGCGTTCACCAACAAAAAAAAAAGGAATAGAAAATCAAAGAGGATATCTAATATTAACCAGTTCTTGCTATTTGTCATTTGAGACAAGGTATACACAAGTTGGAAGCAAGAAGGCTTGAGCCTCATAGAGACTTGACAAAATACCAAAAAGAACATAAACACCAACAAGAATAAAGAAAATATTCCAAAACCCTTTGATTTCAAAAGATCTATTCTCCTCCTTAGCATGAATATTGGTAATAACAAGAAAAATACAGGTATAAGTATCAACTCTAACTTGTCAAAATCAATTAAGGGAAGCAGCATGATCCACACACACAATTATTTTACAGAAGCTTGTATCCAGATAAGGGTACTAGATACAATTAAGGGTACTACATTTATAAGCAACCAAGCTGAAGAAAATATTCAGAGCCAGCCACCAAATTCAGAACCAAAATTCTAAGGAAAAATAGAGAAAACAAGAACAGTATTAAGACAAAGAAGCCAAGCCAAAATTTACCTGTCCAGTTGAACTCAGAAAGGGAAGATCTTTAGATGTCTCAGTATAACAGTAGAGAGAAAAATCAACAGCAGCAATCTGCAAAATTCATATGTGAACAGATACAAATTAATGTCAGAATTATCTTTGAAGGAAAGCAAAACCCTTTTAGGCTTTGACCATGATACAGAATTAAACAAAAGAGCAAGTAAACAGACACATACCTTTTTTTAGGTATCTTTCCAATAAATATATCTTTAGTAAATTAGTAGGTACAAATCCAGCTGCAAGCAGTTATTAATCAATTTCCATGAGATGAAGAAACTTTCAAAACTAACTAAAAGTTTTAGTCTTTGGTGCCAAAAATTCAACCTTTATGGAAAAAAGATCAAAGTTTCAAGACTTTACCAATAAAATTTAAAGAAAGATGCCAAGAGAATTGAAACTAATCAAATCTTATGGAACTCAAGAAAAAGGAATGAGAGCACTTACACCCTTTGATTTTTTATACTTGCAAAGAAGCTTCCTAAAATCCAAAAAAATCAACCCCTTTTACTTTTTCTTGTTCCACTTATTTCTCATGACTATAGTATTTGTATTTGTATTTGTTTGTCTGCATGTTTATACCAATTTGTCTGACTCTACAAGAACAAGTTGTTTGACAAGAGAAGTTTGTGTAAGGGTAAGCAGAATGATCCACGCCTGTTTTCATTTTGTCCCCACATACAAACTCAATCTTAGCCGTCGAATCAAAATCTTGTGGACTATATTTCATTGTTACATGTGAGATGAGCATGGATAACACGTGCACGAGATGATGTTTTCATTTTTTGTTTATTGTTTCATTTTTTGTTTCATTGTTTCCTTTGTTTTGGCAATGGGAGCTTGGAGAAGTAGGGAGGACGCAAACACTATGTGGTCGACGACGACTGACTGTATAAGGAAGGCGGCGAGAGAGGTGTTAGGGATATCTTCGGGCCGCACCGGTGGCCACAAAGGAGACTGGTGGTGGAATGCAGTTGTCCAAGGTAAAGTGGAAGCGAAGAAGGCGGCGTACCTGCGGTTCGTAGGGAGAACTGGAGAGGAGGAGAAGAGAGCGAAGTGAGAGATATAAGGTAGCTAGGAAGGAGGCGAAGATGGCAGTAATAGAGGCTAAGACGACAGCTTTTGCTCGTCTGTATGAGGAACTAGGGAACAAAAGAGGAGAGAAGAAGTTATTCCGACTCGCTAAGGTGAGAGAGAGGACGGCTCGGGATCTGGACCAAGTGAGGTGCATAAAAGATGATGACGATAAAGTTTTGATGGGGGATGACCAGATTAAGAGGAGATGGCAGACCTACTTTCGTAAACTTCTGAATGAAGAAGGGGATCAGGATATTGTGCTCGGTGAATTGAGGAATGCCGACAACCCCCATGAATTAAGTTATTGTAGGGACATTGAGGTCGATGAGGTCATGGAGGCAATGCGTAAGATGAGGAGGGACAGAGCTACCGGGCCAGACGAAATTCCGGTTGAGCTTTGGAGGTGTGTGGGTAGAGTAGGCTTGGAATGGCTAACTAGGTTGTTTAATGTTATATTCAAGACTAATAGGATGCCTGAAGAGTGGAGGTGGAGTACAATGGTTCCGCTGTATAAGAACAAAGGCGATATCCAAAGCTGTAACAACTATAGGGGTATCAAATTACTGAGTCATACCATGAAAGTCTGGGAGAGAGTGGTAGAAATGATAATGCGAAGGACAATGTCTATTTCAGATAACCAGTTCGGGTTCATGCCGGGGCGATCTACCACAGAAGCTATTCACCTTATTAGGAGGATGGTGGAACAATACAGGGATAAGAAGAAGGATCTCCACATGGTGTTTATCGATCTAGAGAAAGCGTACGACAGGGTTCCTAGGGAGGTCTTATGGAGATGACTAGAGGTTAAAGGGGTCATGGTTGCCTACATTAGGGTGATTAAAGACATGTATTATGGAGCTAAGACTCCGGTTAGGACAGTAGGAGGCGACTCCGACCATTCTCCGGTTGTTACGGGGTTACACCAAGGGTCTGCGTTCAGCCCTTTCCTATTTGCCCTGGTGATGAATTCCATAACACATTATATTCAAGGGGAGGTGCCATGGTGCATGCTATTTGCTGATGACATAGTCCTAATTGACGAGAAATGACGCGGCGTCAATGAGAGGCTAGAGGTTTGGAGATATGCCCTTAAGTCTAAAGGTTTCAGGTTGAGCAGGACGAAGACGGAATACCTCGAGTGCAAATTTGGGGCCGAGCCGACGGAAGCAGGAATGGAAGTGAGGCTTGACTCTCAAGTCATCCCTAAGAGGGGTAATTTCAAGTACCTTGGGTCATTTATTCAGGGGATCGGGGAGATCGACGAGAATGTCACACACCGTATAGGGGCGGGGTGGATGAAGTGGAGGTTAACGACGGGAGTCTTGTGTGACAAGAAAGTGCCACTGTTACTAAAAGGTAAGTTTTATAGAGCAGTGGTTAGGCCTGCTATGTTGTATGGGTTCGAGTGTTGGCAAGTTAAGAACTCACACATCCAGAAGATGAAAGTAGCAGAGATGAGGATGCTAAGATGGATGTGCGGGCATACAAGGATGGATAAGATTAGGAATGAAGATATTCGAGAGAAGGTGGGCGTGGCCCCCATAGAGGATAAGATGCGGGAAACAAGACTCAGATGGTTCGGGCACGTTCAGAGGAGGAGCACTGATGCACCAGTGAGGAGGTATGAGCGACTGGCTGTGGTGGGCACGAGGAGAGGTAGAGGGAGACCTAAGAAGTATTGGGGAGAGGTGATCAGGCAGGACATGACACGACTTAGGATTACTGAGGACATGACCCTTGACAGGGAATTGTGGAGGTCGAGCATTAAGGTTGTAGGTTAGGGGGAAGTTGTGAATATTTCTACAGTGCACTAGAGTGAGACTAGCCAGTTAGGAGTTAGTCTTAGGATGCTACTGATGCATGGCTTTATCTGTTGGATATTAGTATACCTTCCATCCTTTTCGTATTTCCTATATTTCTTATGTTGCTGTTATTTTGTTATTTTATGTTATGTATTTTATGTTATTTTATTATGAGTCTATCGATAGTACTAATATATTGTCTCTTGTTGCTCTCTTGAGCCGAGGGTCTCCTGGAAACAGCCTCTCTGCCCCTCGGGGTAGGGGTAAGGTCTGCGTACATATTACCCTCCCAGTCCCCACTTGTGAGATTATACTGGGATATTGTTGTTGTTGTTTTGGTCTTATTTTGCTATGGTTGGTGACGTTGGGATGCATTATTAATGCTACTAGTTTCTTTGTAATATTAATAATAATAATAATAATATTTAAATTGTAACCTTCTATTGTAGTGTTAGATTGTTATTGGTTTGTCCTCCCAAGGGGGTTTCTTCTTTCCTTCACCTTACATTTAGAGCCCATTTGGATTAGCTGATTTGAATTAGCTTATAAGCATTAGGGGCTGAAAAATATTTTTAAATGCTGAACTGATTTAATAAATAAGCAGTTATGTGTTTGGATACAAGTGCTAAAATTGATAATAAGCTGTTGAGTATTTGATTAAAAAGTGTTGATAAGCTCTTTTTCTGTTAAAATGATTTAAATAACCTTAGAACTATTTACACTTATAAGGGCGTAATTTTTTCAAAATTTTAGATTCCAGATCGATTCAAATACAAAATATTTTATTTTTCATTTTATTTCAAATACAATTTCTTAGATAAGATAACTTTTATGATAAATATAATTTATTTTATGATAAGCATATAATCATAAGTTATAATAATTAATAAATTGACAAAAGCTTCTTAGTAAAAAATAAACCTAAATAGGATAAAATATTTGAAGAGAAATAAACGTTGCCTTCATCACCACAACACTTAGAAAGCAATACACTAAAAATTTGATATATCCTCATTTGTTACATATAGTTCAAAAATTAATACACAATTACATTGATACAAATATGCAACGGAATAGAGAATTTATTTATCTTAATTAGTCAATGAGAATTGCAGACTTGAAGAGACGGAAGGATTAGGTTAAAAAAAAAATACTTGAAGCAATGATTATCGATGTAGAATTTTTATTCTAAAAAGAAATATTTTAAGGATAAAATAGTAAAACTTTTGGTCAAACTTAAAGTGCTTATAAGCTAAAAATTCATAAACTGAGGGTGACCAGCTTATGGCTTTTGACTTATTTTTGACTTATAAGCACTTGGCTTATAAGCACTTTTAAGTTTACCAAATGCGTAGATAAGCCGAAAAGTGCTTATAAGCTAGTTTGACCAGCTTATAAGCTTAGCCAAACACCCTCTTATTCAAACAACTTGCTCATATTTCGTTGTGTGTGCTTTGCATAAAGTAAAGGCTTTAAGCTCCACTCCTTCGATTAATTATTTGCAACGGATCTCAAGTTATTTGTTGCACTTTAAAAATACGGTTCTTTTCACCTTTCTCTCATGGTACTTGTACGCTATCGGTTATTGAAGAATACTTAGGCTTAGAGAGTGGTCCCCCTTCTCGCGTAAAAGTGATCAAAATTCGAATACACCATGTTTTACTGGTTAAGTATCAAAAGCTTTAGGGAATAGGATCTCTTTCTACGTCTACTGATGCTTTTGAAAAAAGCTTGAGAGGTTGTGATACTAAAGAGTCCTATTATTCTCCTTGGGTTATGAAATAATTCAATAGCTCCGGGCTCCCTCACTACATTCCAAGGCAAGATCCAATCAGTTAATCTCCCCTTTCCTCTAATAAAGTAGATCTCATCTGCTAACTTTAACTCAACTCTGAGGGAATAATGAAAAGCAAAATCTTCCTCTACTTGAAAGCCATTGCTGATCTGATCTTTTCTTTCCTTACGTGAGCGAGACAAAGTTTTCTTAGTCTTTCATTTTTTCAGTGATATCTATAAGAAGGAATACCTGTCTCAAGGTAAACAGAAGTTCCCGGCTCAACAGAAATGATACCGATGTAAGGTAATTCAATTTTTTAATTTGTGGCAGAGAGTTTTAGAATTCTCTCGGTTATTAAGGTCACTGCCTAATACTAAGTCCGCATATCTGTACTTATTAGTAGGAAGAAGCCCTTCAATTCAAAACAATCAATTAGGATTGATGCCATCTGGCTTCTTCTGACTATTGAAAGTGGAAGTTCAAACTTTGAAGCTCATTTTCCAGCATTCCTTTCAATTCTTTCAACCAATTTGGCAACTTTCAGCTATACAAAGTTAGGTGATTTATAGGGTCGACATTCATCTTGATTCATTGGTGAAATCATAAAATGTGGTGAATCTGTGTCGAATCTTAAGTAGCTCAATTCCGATCTTCATTGGTTTGAGACGGCCCTCTGTTAAAGTACTCATTCTTCTACTCGAGCCGCAACAGAGCCTTTTTGATCTCATTCGTATTCTAAGGAATTCTAAAGTACTTTTACATATTGCACCAGTACTG